GCTCCCCTATGGCATTTCCAGTATTGATGCCATAATCTCCAACTGCCTGGTTATTCTTTACCTTGGCATTGAAGCCGCCCATTAGATGTTAAACCCCATGATTTCATCATTAACAACTATGTTTTTGCTGTTGCTCAGAACATCTCAATCCAAGAAAAACTTCAGTTAACTTTCATCCTAAATTGAGCTGGCGCAAATGGTTAGCCGCCTACGTTCCCGCTAAAAGACAAACTTGCATTTCACGGTGGATGACCAGAGAGCGACGCCAAACAATCATTCATGTGTTGTTGTAGCTCTCAGGTACAACTTTAGGCGACTCAGCGATGAAAAAAAAAGCGTTCTGCTTGAGCTGTGGCCACCGACAAAGTTGCCGGAATGTTTAGAAGATGCTGCACGTTTGGAAAGAAAACTTGTGGGCAATTACAACCGTTTGCATTGCAGACATGCTCAGTGTTTCTCGGTTTTCTCACTTCCATTTCGCAGCATATACTGCTATCTCACCTTGCAATGCTTAAGTTGAGATCATGTTCGAATGTACACGTCAGTAAACTTCTCGGCAGTGGGAAGAGTGGCCGATTCGGGAATGTTCTGCGGCAGGAGCGAAGAAAGCATCTCCAAAGTGTGTGTCGATGCATTTTAACGCACTCATTGAAGGGGTGTATGAAATAGTCCAGAAAAAGTCAGAAATGCTGAAAGCCTAAAGTGCACTTCCACGCCAGCCACTGACACGTTACTTCGATGAAGCTGCCTGCCTGTGACAAGCGGTATTCTCATTTTCGCCAGTTGTCAAGTGTGCACTGAGAGCAGCGTCGCTTTTTCGGGAAATAATCATCAAGCGTTATACCGTACGGTGTTTCGGCGCGACCATCAAGTCTAACAGAAGGGCGCTGATCGACCCCGGACACGAGCTACTAAGCAATACGTGTAGGCAGCGTATTTCAAGGGGGTGACTTCACATTGCTAGGATGCAATGAGTTCAGCAATATTCGAGCAGTGACCCTGAATGCGAGAAACTAGAACTTTAGCGACGATACATGTAGGCTGCTAAAGTTCCGCCTTAAACACTAGCGCTCATTTCACCCCTGGCGGAAAAATTTGCGGGTGTACATATCCTCCGCTTCCCTTAAGGTGCCGGTAAGGTCACGCTCGCCCAGTATCTGAATTACTCTTCGCGGGAGATGTCTCACGTTTGTGATTGCGCCCATACGGAAGACTGGTAGTTTCTGTCGCGTTGTGATGAAATACCACAAACGTGAATGAACGTTAAGGAGGGGATGTCAGTAGTGAAATTCCTAGCGACTCGCATTAGAATGCTCTAAATAGACAGCCAACAGGCATGGACGATGCAAAATAGAGCTTAGGTAAACTCGTGCTGCACGCACTGGCACTTTTCGTCGGAGTTCACGCGTTCTGAGAAATAGATTATGGTGTACTCTGACCAACTCCGGCGTTCATTCCTTCATCACTGGTGAAGCGATCACTGAATATTTTGTGTGGTACGAGGCTGCTCCTGTTCACGCTGGTGTAAGTGCTGGAAACATGAATGCACTTATGCTGAGTGGTGAAATATTTTGTTCAGTTCTGAATCTATTCAGGTAAAAAGAAAGGTCGGCTGCACGCTTGCAAAGAACACAAAACACCTTGTACCAACGCTATCGTTTCAGGGAGCCGAGTGAAGAGAGCTACGAAAAAAATAAGAACATACCGCGTTTTTTGCGCGTATTTAAGTGTTTTAGCGCATATGCGCAGTGACCAAGTTTTATGTGAGAAGGTATAGTTCAGTCGCACGTGCATTTTGATTGAGATCAAAGAAACATTTTTCATCAATGATTACCTTGCCCTCACAGAGTGCACGATAATACCTTTACAATTACAGTACTTCATTGCTGTCAATAGTCACAGGGCAAACTAAAGTCTGCCCGAAAAATAACGTGTGCAAAATGGTGTTGCCAACATGCAGCATATCTTACAAAAGAAATCACCTATTACATATCGCAAGCATGCTTAGATGCAGGCAGTAAACTAAAGATATGTCACTAAAAACTACCACTGCGTCAGGGTGGCTTGACATATTGATATTATTATAAAATCATTCCCATAGGCACGGAGTCACAGACATCGACAGTAAGAAATTCGCTCAGCAAGGTAAGCGAAACCGAATTGTAATTATCAATGTACAAAAACAAGCTGCATATACCTCTCATTCCTCGTTGTAAGTGGAACCCTCCTTGACCTGTCAAACGCACTTCGCCCCGATGAGGAGTACGTCGTCTACGCTTAACAAAGATTAACGATTAACGATGTCTTCTTCGATCTAGAGGATAATCGCAATAATGCGTTTTGGAAGACTTGTCCATTCAATGGTGCGGCGAGAGGCTGCTGCTCCAAACGGTAACTGTACCTGTCGTTTACTGTATTTAGAGTACTTCTTACAGTACTGCCCCGCCGCCGTAGTCTAGGGGCTAAGGTGCTTGGCTGCTAACCCACATATCTCGGGATCAAATCCCGGCTGCAGCGGCTGCATTTTCGATGGAAGCGATAGTGCTGTAGGCCCGTTTGCTCAGATTTGGGTGCACGTTAAAGAACCCAGGTGGTCTAAATTTCTGGATCCCTCCACTACGGCGTCTCTCATAATCATATGGCGGTTTTGGGACGTCCAACCCCACTTATCAATCAATCATTCTTACAGTAACTCTCTTCACAACCGTACGCGCACCGTCTGTTTAAACTACCACCGATAAAGATGTCATAGAAAAAAGCTGATGCCTGTGCCCCCCCCCCCCCCCGAAAAATATTTCTGGCTTAAGCCCCTGTCTCCGTCTCTGATTCTACTGCTCTGCTTTTTTCCTATTTAAACGTTCTGTGGCTTTTATAGTTTACTAAGTATGTACCAACTTGGCCAACAAGCAACTCTCCTAAATGTGGAGCCTGTAATTAGTTATCAGTCACACGCTGCAACAAGCAATGTGCAATGTTATGACTAACAGGTCTCCAGCAACAGATCGCTAGAAAAGAAACGTGAAGAGAAAAGTGAGGCTGAAGTCGGTTTCGTGAGGCCATAACTATCGAAGGTCGAAACGTCTTGTCTGTGCTCGTGACCACTCTTGAAAATCCATGTCGTCGATTCTGAACAGCGCTGTGGGCGCTGTGCTGCGCGCGTCTGTTGCATACCTAAGTTATCTTTCAGCAGCGTTTCCCTGTGCAGTGAGTCATCAAGCTCATGCAACTGGAAGCGCCTATGCAATGCGAGTTATGCAGCTGCTTCGAGCTTTTACAAGCGACGGTGAATAGTTACATGAACGAATGTGGGAAACGTAGAGAACACAATTCAAGGTGAAGGCACGTTTTCCACTTGTGTGTTTCAATTTTTCTTTCTGAATAACACCGGTGTGCGTACACCTACGACTGCCATTTTGTGGACTATCTACACAACCGCTTATGTAGTCAAACCTCAAGTGAAGAAATTACGCCATCTCCCACTAAAGGGAACCATGTGAGGATGCGAAGCAGCGAGGAAATGGTGACCGCACCCACAGAAACCAACATTCAGAACCTCTACCTGACTAACGCTGCCTGGTGACCAGCCCTGCTAAACAGCCGGTCCCTCAACGCACACTCCAGAAACATCGAACGTGATCTCGCGCAAATCAAAGCTCTGTCTCTGGTTTGCACGTCACATGTTGTCTCTGATGCGTTCTGTCTGACGGAACGTGGAACGCCGCTAGACCGACTATCAACAGCTGCGAAGTGAGCGTCTGTAGTAAGAAAGCGTCTAGTTGCCTTCGCCGCCAAGTCGTGAGAAAGGACGAGAGCGTAGGATAGGAGAGACAGAAAGGAGAGGGGGATGCGCTGTTGGGGTGTGTACGCCACGCTATTGAGGAAGCGTCACTGCCTTGGCCGCCAAATCGGAATACAGAGGGGGAGCGTAGGAGAAGAGAGAGAGGGAAGGGGGATGCACATGTGCAGTTAGAGAGGGGACGCATGAGGGAAGGATAGACACAGCCCCACGCAAAAAAAAATTGCCCGCAGCTTCCCTCGGGGGAACACTGAGGAGGATGTGGAGCATAGAATTGGTTAACGGGGTGTTAAAGTGCGACTTACTTGGGTCGATGGCTAAATTGGTTAACGTGGTTGTGAAATGGGGTGTTAAATTGTGACTTACTTGGGTCGCTGGTTAAATTGGTTAACGTGGTTGTATGAGGGGTGTTAAATGAGTGAACACGTACGACACGTATGCGAAAGGGTTGGACGACGACTTGGTTGCGGTTCCGCCAACACTTTGGCCGGCGCTGGTCGAAGGGACGTCGATCATTGCGACCTCGGACGTCGACGCGCCGTACAAACCAACCGACGAGCGGCAACTGAGCGAGCGAGCACCGACCTTGAGTATATATACAGCGCGACGGCGCATGCGCTGTCAGCTGTCGAATGTTCGAGAAGGGGGAGAAGCGCAACGGCGCATGCGCGCGCGTCAGCTGCCGATGTTCTCGAAGCGCGACGGCGCATGCGCGCGCGTCAGCTGCCGATGTTCTCGAAGCGTGACGGCGCATGCGCGCTACATTATACAGCTAGCGAATGTTCGTGAAGAGGAGAAGCGCACGCGGTGTGTAGAGGAGGAAGGGTGCACAGATGGTGGAGGAGTGAAGCGCGCGCGGTGTGTAGAGGAGGAAGGGATGCACAGATGATGGAACAAAGAGGAGGAAGCTTGCGGACGGCGCCGCACTACAAGCCTCGAGTATTAGATGCTCCGCATCTAAAACCGATTCGAATATAAAGTTTTGCGTGAAAAGAAGCCCATCTAATGTACGTCCCCTGTTTCTTCTTTTTGGAGTTTACAACTGGGCATGAAAAACGGCTTTATAAGGCCGTGATTGAGATGCATGTAAAAGGTGCAAAGCCAGTACAATATGTGGTATTCTACCTCGTGATCATTAGGTCACTTACTCAGGAAGTTGTAACGTCACCGTAAATACACCAGTATTTTTGTCGTGTGACCTTACCATGCATCTCTACGCCGAGCCTTGGGTTGCTCCACACGGCCGCCCAGACAGCCCTGTCGAGAGTGGTGAGCCGGTTTCCATTCAGGTACACCCGACGCAGACTTGTCATTTTGTCAAACAGCAGCGGAGACAGCACACTTATGCGGTTGTCACTGTACGGTAAGGAAACAAGGTACACACTAAAGCATGCCGCGAACAGAACGCCAATTAGGTTGAAGTGGTACACTTTAATAAAGAAAGAAAGAGTATATGTGACTCCTCTGGGCTGGTACTGAGTCTACTGACTAGCCGCTTACATGATTCTCACAAAAGAGGCACGGTGGCTCTCTCATGGGCTCATTGCACTCTCTTGTGAGAGTCGTGTGACCCACAAGAGAGTCTCTTTAAAAAAGTGGTATACGTGGCGAGCCTGGAAAGAGTCACATATTTTTTGCTTACAGTGTACAAGAACAATGCGAGGTAAAAGTAGTGGGGGAAAAAACTTCCTGCCAAACCTAATCGCTCATGGGAATAGCGTTAACTGAAACCGCACAAACGCCAAAGTGAACTTGAATTTGTGCCGGAGCACTCGGTTATCAAAAAAATATCCAGCTGATTCCACGCTTTGTGGGAATCAATTTCATGCTGCAATTTTAGGCTGTCAGCCAAACGTTACAAGATGGATGAACAACAGTTAGTAAATTGAGTAGTTCAGTGCATATTGTGGATGAACTAAAACGCGTTCCGGGGTTACTTGGTGCAGTGTATAATGAAATATTTGAGACACAAAAAAACGAGGACAAGAAACGACAGGACCCTTGCTTTCGCACTGCAAGTCCTGCGCATAATCGCTCCGTTTTTTTTTTTATATAACCAGGGTGACTGGGAAAAAGATAAAGCAGGTGGCCTGCGAATTGTTGCAGGCTTTTTGCGTAGCGTAAACAAAATTAGACAATCTCCCACTAAAGCGAACCATGAGTAGCATGCGAAGCAGAGCATGAGTTGACCTGAAGTTCCGTTCATCACGGGCACCTTCCCTGATGTTAACGCGTCCTCGCAAGACGAGTAGTAGTAATAAACAACTTCATTAAAACAGCTGACGGTTTCCTAAGTTGCGAGGGCTGTCAGGCCATGCCTGGTAGCCACCTCGTCAGCGCGTCTGATGGCCCGGAGCTGGGTGTCCAGCTTGTAGTAGTGAGGATTCTCTCCCAGGCCTCACTTGAAGGTGACTGCCCTAGAAGATTTGGTGAGGGAGGGTCCTTGCTGCATCCCCAGATGATGTTGTCCAAGGTTGCAGCCTGTGTCTTGCAAAGGGTGCACCTAGATGTGAATAAGCTTCGTATATGTGTCTGTATATGTACGGAGAACGGAATGTGTTGGCTTGTAGCCGCCGCCAAGTGATTTGTTGAGCTTTGTTTAGTTGCGGGTACGGGGGGGGGGGGGGTCTTTTTTGCCTTGATAGCTGGTAGTACTGCGTGATGTCGTGAAATGTGATGAGTGGTTCGGTTGCTTCGGTGTCGTGGTCCGAAGTCTGGCCCACCACTCGGCGTACGAGTCCTCGAGCCTGTCTGTGGGCGGCTTCGTTACCTGGGTTTCCTGCGTGCGCTGGGTCCCTGAATTAAACGAAGATCATCACCGTCACTGCAGCTAGAAGCAGTGTCGTCTGAGGCATTGCGTGCCGCTTGGGGCAGAGAACGGAGTATTCGTGCCATGGTTGGGGAAAAAGTGCCACGGGCAAATCGGGTCATGGCAGATTTGGAGTCACTAATGATTGTTTCAAATCCGGCTATCGCGGCGAGTGCTATGGCAGCTTATTCTGCTTCAGTTGGGTCCTGTGTGCGTATGGAGCCGGCACACATTGTGGTAGGTTCTTTATCGACTGGGGTACGTTTCGATGAGACATTGATAGCATATGTCTGTCTGGGGGCAGGGTATCTTGGCGCGTCGACGTGAGCCGCCTTGGTGTTCGTGCCGTAGGTACTGTGAAGGTTTCTGGCGCGAGCCGATCGTCTACCGTCATGAATGCCGGCCAGCATGTTCTTCGGCAAAGGCTGCACAATAAAGTGCTGTATGATGAGGTGTGGTAGCGAGACAAAGTCTTGTCCGCTTGGTGACGAGGGAATGGCGATACGTTGGCGTATCCGTCTTACGGTTTTACTACCACGCAATCGTTCAATTTGTGCAGTTTGGTGTGCTTCAATAAGTTCATCTATTGTATTCTGAATGCCAAGGCTGACGAGGTGCATGGTCGATGCGGGAGAGGCCCAAGGCGATCTCGAGGAATGTGCGAATAAGCCTGTCAACTTTTTTCTTTTTCAGTCTTGAGGATTTGATCGATATGTGGGGTTTAACGTCCCAAAACCACCATATGACTATGAGAGACGCCGTAGTGGAGGGTTCCGGAAATTTCGACCACCTGGGGTTCTTTAACGTGCACCAAAATCTGAGCACACGGGCCTACAACATTTCCGCCTCCATCGGAAATGCAGCCACCGCAGCCGGGATTCGAACCCGCGACCTGCGGGTCAGCAGCCGAGTACCTTAGCCACTAGACCACCGCGGCGGGGCAGTCTTGAGGAGTCGTAAGTACGGTAAGGCGTGAGTGATTCTTGTGGTTACGAAGGCATTTATTGGCTGGAGAAGTTCATTTTCGTTCGTGCCATGATTCCGCGCAGAGATTCACCCTAACAGACGGGCAGTCTGAGTGACGGTGACCGCAAGCTTCTCTAGTGCAATGGTATTGCAGCTGCCGGCTTGTACGTGAAGGCCGAGATGATTGATGATTGATTGATTTGTGGGGTTTAACGTCCCAAACCCATTATATGATTATGAGAGACGTCGTAGTGGAGGGCTCCGTAAATTTCGACAAATTGGGGTTCTTTAACGTGCGCCCAAATCTGAGCACACGGGCCTACAACATTTCCGCCTCCATCGGAAATGCAGCCGCCGCAGCCGGGATTTAATCCCGCGACCTGCGGGTCAGCAGCCGAGTACCTTAGCCACTAGACCACCGCGGCGGGGCAGTGAAGGCGCATGTGCAGCACTATTGGTATTTCGGATCCGGTGATCCTGAGAGTGATGGTTGGTAGTGGCGGGTGTTTAACCTTATGCTAGTCAGGATTGTTCGAGGTATAGCGCATCCAGGACGGGACAGAGAAGAAAACACAGAACACATACACGGCACCCAGTCTGATGTTTTCTTCTCTGTCCCGTCCTGGATGCGCTATACCTCGAACAACATGTAAAACCAACAAGCCCGCCGTGCAACCTTGGTAGTCAGGAGGACGAAGAAGGATGAGTTGCGATTTCTCCACTGAGCACTCGACGCCCACACGCGCGACGTATTCGGCCACTGTGTCCACGGTGCGTTGCAGTGCCTCCTCGATCTGTCCGTCGGAGCTGGTAGTGGTCCATATCATCACGTCTTCCGTGTATAGGGTGTGCCGGATGTTGGGTGTGTGGTCTAGTAACTGTGGGAGTTGGCTCATTACAAGGTTGAAGAGGAAACGTGAAAGAACAGCTCCCTGTGACGTGCCTTTGTTGGATAGGGCAAGTCGCTTCGTGGCGTTGCTGTCATTCAGGGAAAGTTCCACAGTGCGGCCTTGTAAGAAGGAGCACACGTAGTCGTAAATACCTTCCCCAGTGTTTGTTCAAGCCAAGTGCTGGGCTATCGCTTGTTGTGTAACGTTATCGAACGCCCTGCTTAAGTCAATGCCTAGTATTGCTCGCCTGCCCGCACATACAGGGTCTTTCAATAAATCGTGGTAGATTTGTACCAGGGCTTCTTGAGTAGATAGGTGGGTGCGAAAACCGAGCATGGTTGGAGGAAAAAGGTCTTGCTCTTCTGCAAGTGTTTCTAGCTGAGCCAGGACCACGTGCTCAAAGAGGTTTGCCAAGGCATGAAGTTAACGAGATGGGGCAAAGATTTAATAAATCTGCCTTTTTTCTGGCTTCGGTATAAACACTATTTTTGGGGTCTTCCATTCTTCTGGTATACTGCCGGCATGCGAGCAGTCGTTGAAATATTCAGTGAGGGCAGTTACTGATCTTCCGGCAAGGTTGCGGATTGTTTTGTTGGAGACGCCGTCTGGACCTGGTGCCGAAGTTGTGCGAAGCTTTAGAATGGCTATATACACTTCGGCTTCTGTGATGTCGGCATCAAGATTTGGGCTTGGTTTACCTTCATAGGGTGGCAGTAGTGTCACTGGTTGGTGGGCTTGGTTGATGTATTTGTCCGCCAGGTCAGTTAGTATATCTATGTCTGATTCGGGGTGATGGTGGGCAAGTCGCTTAAGTCTGTGCCGTGCGGCTGTTTTCGAGTCGTCGGGATCCAGTAAGTGGCGTAACAGGTGCCACGTCTTTTTGTTGCCTAGCTGTCCATTGAGTCCGCTGCACAGCTGGTCCAATCGTTGGCGGGCGAGGCTGTGTCGCTCGATATCTTCAGAGAGGGTCTGTATGCGGCGACGCAGTTTCTTGTTGTAGCGTTGCTTCTACCTTATGCCCAGCAGGCTTGCGTGTTCATCCCACATGTGGAGAAGACGAGAGTCTGTGTCGGGCGTTTCTTCTGCTGCTTTACTTTCGTGCGTTGTGCGTCGCACGTGGTCCTTTAGTGAGGCTGTTCATTCCTTGACGTTTCTTTATGTTCTGGGGCTTCACTTTCGCGGACGTTTCTAAATTTGGGCCAGTCCGTGATTCGAGCGAGTGCTTTGTGCACTCTCTTGGCACAGGACGTCTGTACTTGAACAGAAATGATGTAGTGTTCGCTAACAGTGAGTTTACAGGTGTTCTCAAATCTGGCCTGTGCAATATTCTTGCAGTATGCGAGATCGGGTGACGTGTCCCTACGCACGCTGTTTCCTATGCGTGTCGGATGAGAGCTGCAGGTCATTTAGTAGAGTGAGACGGAGGTCCTGACTGAGTTGAAATGGCTTCTAGCCTCGTTTGTTTGCCTGCAGGTAGCCCCAGTCAGGGTGCCTGACGTTGAAATCGCCCAGTATAAGCAGTTGTGCACCACGATATAGCGATGTGGTTTTCTGGAAGAGCAGGTTGAAGTCGTCGGCGCGTGCCCAAGGGGCGCAATATACGTTCAGGATAAAGACTGACCGATGCTAGCGTTTTGGCAGAAGAATTTCTACAACCGTGTGTGGAATGTCAGGGAATTCTAAGTCGTGTT